GTATATGGACAGGAGTTGTGAGTATGAATGCCAAGCGAGTAACATAATTTAACACTTTAGCTCTACCAAAACCCCCTTTGCTTTACCAAAACCCCTTTTGCTCTATCAAAACCCCTTAAGCTCTACCAAAACCCCTTTAGCTCTACCAAAACCCCTTTAGCTCTACCAAAACCCCTTTAAACTTGTCTAAACCCTATCTTTATGCTTGCCTGCTGTGCGCCTATGATTGTCATTATACTGTATATGGTGTAGGTGCTTAGGTAGAAAACAATGCTTTTCTATTGATCCCTGTTAATGAATAATGACAATCTCGACATTTACAATAATGTATATGTTGGAGATTCCTATGTAGAAAACACTGCTATAGATAGATCCCTTATTTATTAAATAATTACAATTTCTCTCGACAATACTTTTCAATTAAAATTTATAAAACAATTGCCATTTTGATTTCTATTTGCTTAGTGTAGACACAAATTTATCCTACTATACTTACTTTATGTGCACTTTTAACTTATAATATTCAAAGATGTTAGCCATCTGTTTTCAACCACCAATGCACTAATCCTTATAATTTCCCTAATATTAATTAAAGCTGTCAACTAGATTATGTTTATTGGTTTACAAATTCCGATGTAATTATTGCTTTTATATATTATACAACATGTGCTAATTTTATTACTTTATCTGAACTTTTAATTACTTGGTTTGAAGGCTTTATTGCTTTTTCTTTCACATTAATTCTTATTTCAAATACATGATTTTAAACTTTAATGTGCATAACTTTTAATACTTTGTACAAATCCATTTACAGATGTCAGACATTATTTTAAATAACAGATATATTTCTTAGTTAACACAAAATTCACAAGAAATTAGAGTCGATCCCACGCTAGAGATAATTAATTTTCGGCTATTTCAGCAAAGTTTTATTGCGTTTCTAACATGAATATACATATAAATTAGTTTTATTGCTTCCCAAGTATATCACGAATACATTTTAATTATATAATTGCGAATTTGATCCTTGGAAACAGACAACAAGAACCATTAATAACAAAATCAATATATGCTATGAACAATATCACGTCTATAGTGGATGCATCTGCGGACGCGTCCACAGACTTAAAGTCGGACGCGTCCGAGGACTCGTTCATATACTATTCAATAGAATTGATGTGTAGTTTTGGAAAGAGGCCAAGACCCTATGTTAAAGAAAAGGGTAAACGCCTTCTTTGCCATTATTGAAGACATTCAGCACATTTGGCCAGAGATAGCCGATTCCAAGAATAGAAACGATGCAGAGAACCAATTGAATTAACGAATACTATGGCAGCACATTAATGGTAATATAATTTGTTGGATCAATTTGCTTAATTTTCTTTTAAAACTATTACTGTTTTCTTTAACTAAACTATCATTTTTACTTTACTAATTTGCTTTGTAACTCTTAATACATTTTGATATGGAATTATGACAATAATTGCTTGTTTTTTCAAGTAAAGGAAAATGTGTTGGAATTTATATTTTATTTTTATAATTTTTAATAATTTTGAAACCTTTAGTGTTAATTATTATTTATACTACTTTTTATTTGTTTAAATACATTTTTTTTTAAATTTAAAACCACACAAACAATTTAAAATTTTAAATATAAACTTGTACTTGACGGACGCAAACTGGAATCGGACGCGGACGCGACTGAGGACGCGTCCGCGGACGAGTCCATGGACGCGTCCGTTTCCATTGCATGTTGTACTATTGATTACATAATTTAAACCTATGTTTATCTAGAGATATAACACAAACATGTTATTACATTTAATTACAAATTTTATTTTATTTTTTATATAATTTAATTAAACACACAAATAGTATTTGTAAGGCCGCGGAACGAAAAGCATATAGTTAGTACGAAGCCCCCGCCAATTATGTATACACAATTTTAGATAAATTAATCATTTAATTACTATTACAATTTAAACATATTTTTTTGAATACAAACTTGTAAACTTACAGCGCATGATATTTTAATGATAACAATACGTTATTATCTGTGAAAGCTGTTGTGGATGTGGTGTAGGACATGGTTGCAAATTTATTAATGACACATAAACAATATATTAACAATGAATAAGAATGGAGACAAATGAATAAGAATGGAGACAAATGAATAAAAATGGAGACACATGAATAATAATGAAGACAAGTGAATATAAATAATGACAAATGAATACGAATTAATACAAATGAATAAGAATGGAGAAAAAGTATAATAATGGATGCGAAAAAATAAATATGGTAACAATTGAATAAGAATGAAGACACGTGTATAAGAATGAAGACAAATGAACATAATAAGTACACGAAATGCAAATGAATACTAATGGACACAAATGAAGACAATGGACATGAGTACAATTGAAGCAATGAATACAACGGACGTAATGAATTTAGTTGATGGACATGAAGACGAAAGTTTTAAATGCAACCATGGACTTAGACATAGACTCAGCCGTTGACACAGATATAGACCGTATTATAACTAAGTTTGTATGTAAGGTTGTATACAGCATTTATAATTGAATAGTAATGTTTTTGAATAATGTTTAAATTTAAATTACTTATGATACATTTATACATTTTATTTATATTATTTTACACATGTATTTTGATTCAAAAATTAATGAAACATCTTAAGGGGCGGCATATACAGTATAACAGATATTCACACCAGAACACCATTGAGTTACATGTGGTTTATGTCATTCCCTTAGCCTAATCCCCCTTTTAAACCCCCGATGAGTGTTGCATTCCTGAGCGACAACCGCCTGGGTAATTGAGTTATCTGTCATTTGAGGACCGATTCCGGTGTGAATGTGTGTCCACTCAATGGCAACGATTGGCATTCAATACACAAAATCATATTAATTTTGATTCAAAATTACATCAAAACAACAAACTTTTTGAGTCAATTGTAAAAAAGTTAACAAACATTACAAGTATTAAAGGGACAGGTAAGATCGCTTCTTATTATTTAATTAAATGTAACCCAGTTAAATTCTATTCCAGCTCGCCGACATCACCTTGACCTACATCAATTTAATTCAATCAATACCAAAATATTAGAGACAATAATTAAATATTGTACTGAATTAAATAAAATTGAGATTACATTAGATTCACAAGTAAATTACGACAAATTCTTTTCACACTCTGGCTCACAATTAAAATTATTGACAATCAATAGCTTAAATTTTAAAAAACAAAACAATACCCTTAAGCCATGTATTAATTTGCAACGCATATCACATAAATACTTAGAATATATAATATTACAGTATAACAGATATTCACACCAGAACACCATTGAGTTACATGTGGTTTATGTCATTCCCTTAGCCTAATCCCCCTTTTAAACCCCCGATGAGTGTTGCATTCCTGAGCGACAACCGCCTGGGTATATAAGTCGAGCCCACTCTCACCCATAGTTAGTTAGTTTTTAGCTTTATATACTGTCGGACGCGACTCAACACTCTTGGTGTTGAGTCGTGTAGACTAACTCATTGCTGTGTGAATTCCTGTGTGTATTGATGTCTCATAATTTTTGTATAACTTTTTGTATTACTTTTTATATTACTTTTATATAATCACAATAAAGTCTTATTTACTCTAAATCTGTGTAATAACTCTTAATAACTCTGAATAATGCCGGTTGGCGTCCGCGTCCGAGTCCGCGTCCGAGTCCGAGTCCACGTCCGCGGACGCGTCCGAGAGTCCATCAGCCTTTATGGCTCAGATAAGTATATGGACAGGAGTTGTGAGTATGAATGCCAAGCGAGTAACATAATTTAACACTTTAGCTCTACCAAAACCCCTTTAGCTCTACCAAAACCCCTTTAAACTTGTCTAAACCCTATCTTTATGCTTGCCTGCTGTGCGCCTATGATTGTCATTATACTGTAATATATATTCTTGCAGATAAACCCATCGAGATCTATGCGAATGTACCGGACAAAAATGTGCTTGCTATATATTACTCGATATTTAGCAACAACGAGATTGGTCATGATTACAGTCAATATCCTGGCATATTCATAAATTATGTTATTAAAGATGATATTTGGAAACCTGACAAATACAACGAATTTATTCATAATTATTGCCATAATATTCGTTCGCTTGACATCGATATTACTGATAGCAACGCGTGTTATACTAACGGCGACGAATTAATAACAAAATTTAATTATTTGTTTAACAGTATATCACAAATAACATGTTTAAATAAGTTAAACATTATGCTAAATAAATGGGACGCAAAAAGCAGTCAACTTGTCACAAATCAGCGCTAGTTGTCCTAAACTTAAGAAACTTAAACTAAATGTATTAAATTACGTAAATAAACGTAACCCCGAGCCGATTGACCTATTTATCGTAATACTATCGAGATCATTAACAAATATTTTCAGCACTTACGGCGTTTGCATATTATGGGACAATCGGACGGTACGATAGCGTGGGTTAACAATACGTTTTACGCGTGCAAACAATTGCTTGATATTATGTGCAAAATAAATATTATATAAATGTATTATAAATTCAATATTAAATATTATTATATAAGATTATTAATTTTGAAATAGAGATAACTTTATTAATCAATTATAATATTCCAGAATAGCCATTAGGCTGGCCAACTGTCCACTATTTGAGTGGACATTCCACTATTTTGGTGTTATGTCCACTAGGAACTGAAGACCGAATAGTGGACATTGTAATGTCCACTATTTTATTTTCAGGAAAATTAACATAATTTGGCTAAAATTATAATAAAATCTTCGGTAATATTGTTTATAAAATTAATAATTCAAAATCTACTATTGATAATCAGTTTTTGCGTGTATTTATTAATTGGAAATTATGATTATTTATTATTATCTATAATAATTATTAAATATTAAGTATTTATTTGTTTATAAATAGTAAATATGAGAATAATGAATAAGTATAGTAAAGTAGTTAAGTTTACAATAATTTGTTATTTCAGTATATTGAAATATTTAGGTATATCGAAAGCCGGTGGTGTTATATAAGTGTCCATTATTTTTAACTCTATGATATTAACTTAATTATAAATCTATATAACATAACTTAGTAATATTAGTGAATTTTCACCATAATTATTTTATAAGTCACTTTAATAGATCTGAGGTTAAAAGAAATTACAATAAAACATTGATAAGCTAGACATTGCGACAAGTAAACGGCACTTATAACTTACGATTTAATTAAATAATACAACTAGTTATAAATATGGGATGAAATGTTGTGTAAAAATAGATCAAATTGATATAAAACATCGCGAAAAAAGTATGTCCACTATTTGTCCACTATTTTTGACCTATTTTAGAGCAAAAGTCCACTATTAAAGATTTATGAGTTGGCCAGCCTAATAGCCATTGATAATTATTTGATTGATTGATTAAGCCATAGATTTAATACAAGACCAAATACAACTTAATCCATGTGGGAAATAATTTTATGTAAATAATATTATGTCATCTCGGTTTAAACACGTCATTCAAACGTAAATTATTTTTAGACGATTGAGCACAATATAAAATTTTTAATACATAAAACTTTACATCCTGGTTCATTTTAATAAATCAAATTTGATGGTATCTTTATGTCAATATAAATTAAAATGGTTTAAAATTTTTATTTAAACATTAATTTGACATCTACAGGTAGATAATAAATTTATATAAAAACGAACAATTTTAGGACATATTTATAATATCATAAAAATGTTTAAAATTTACCTTATCCTATTTATTATATGCTTTACATGTATGTATAGAAAATTTAATTATACTTATTGTAATTTGTACTTAGAGTTTCAAATAATATTCATTATTTCTAAATTTAATTTTATAACATTTCTTTAAAATCTATTGCTAATTATATGTATTAATTAAAATTCACTATCTTTATTATTAAACATAAAAGTGCTTCCCTTGACAATGTTATCCAATGGCAGTCAATATTAATAATTGTTTAATAAATTAAAATGTTTTCATTATACTGTATTATCAATATAGTATATCGTATCATAATAATATTTATACGTTTACTTGACATTATAATTACTAATTGGAAAAAACTTGTAATGACGGCAAAGAATTACTGACAAAATTTAATAATATGTTTAACAAAATATCATAAATAACGTGTTTAAGTAATTTAAAAGTTAGGCTAGATAGATTGAACGCAAAGTACTTATCAATCAACTTGTCAAAAATCGGCCCCAGTTGTAGTAAGCTTAGAAACATTACGCTTATTGTATTACGCTCCGTGTATAAAACCAACGCAGAACCAATTGACCTAATTATTTCCCGTAACACTATCGATGTGATTAACAAATATTATCAACAATTACGGCGTTTGCAGTAATTATTAAGGGACAATCGGACGGTACGATAGCGTGGGTCAACCATACGTTTCACGCGTGCAAACAATTGCGTGACGTTATTATTACCGACAAAATAGTGAGGATGGTGATGATTATATTGAGTACAACAATAGTACTATATATTCCCGTTTACACCGAACATTACAAATTACATCTGGGTCAGAAAAAATTGACAATCAATAATTGGAGTTATTATTCGTTACACATCTTATAGAAAATATCCTACCCTTAATTGCAAAACAAACATATTACAATTTACTTGACTAAACCCAACATAATGTACTAAAAACACTAATTTTGAATTTTTTAAAAATTTCAACAATTAAAATATCTTAATACAGTCAACTATCGATGCTGTCAACAGATTGGTTCCTGGGATTTGGTTGATAACATAGATTAGTTGACAACATAGAGATAATTTTAACATTAGGTCTATGTGGTAGGGATTTGGGATTTGGTTGATAACATAGAGTAGATGACAGCATCGATAGTTGACAGCATTGATAGTTGACTGTATCGTTTTTCGGTCGTTTAATAATTATTAATTATTTAATATAATAATACAATTTTCTAACACAAAGTGCTAACAAATATCACTGGAATGTAATGTCATTACAAGTACTCATAGAAACAATTATCAAATGATAACTTTATTGTTTGCAATAACTTTAAGTTTGTTTCATATGTGCAGTGAAACAATAAAATATATTTTGCTACGTGGCATATTATTTTACATTGTATTTAATTAAAGTTTATTAATACTAATTCTGATATTTATCATATAAAATTAAATTTTATTTTGTGTTAAATAAAAATGGTCTCAAAGTATTTGTTGGACTCAATGGATAGGTTTGGCGACGATTTGTGTGAAGTATTGTTGAGTTATCTGTCATTTGAGGACCGATTCCGGTGTGAATGTGTGTCCACTCAATGGCAACGATTGGCATTCAATACACAAAAGCATATTAATATTGATTCAAAATTACGTAAAAACAACAAACTTATTGAGCAAATAGTAAAAAAGTGCAAAAAGATTACAAGTATTAAAGGCACAGGTAACATAGCTTGTTTAAATATTATAACCTATTCAGTTTATAATTTATTTTTTAGCACGGCGCTTGTACCGATTGAAAGGCACAGGTAAAAACGTAACATTTTATTTATATAAATTATCCTGCTCATACTCTCTTCTAGCTCGACCATCTTACCTTGGCCGTTACCTTGGCACTAATTCAATGAATACCGAAATATTAAAAACAATAATTAATTATTGCACAAAATTGAATAAAATTGAGATCACATTTGATTCGGACGTAAATCACCACAAATTCTTTGCACACTTTGGCCCACAATTAAACTCATTGACAATCAATTGGTGGAACTCTAGGCAACTCAACGATACGCTTATACAATGTCTTAATTTGCGACACATATTATTTCATATTGAATACACATCTATCGAGATCTATGCAAATGAACCGAACAAAAATGTGCTTGCTTTATATTACTCTATATTTAGCAACACACAAATTGATCATGATTGTGAACAATTTCCTGGCTTATCCATAAAATACGTTATTAATGATGATTCTTACAACATTGGCAAATACAGCCAATACAACGAGTTTATTTATAATTATTGCCATAATATACGTTCGCTTGACATCACTATTACGAATTGCAGCGAGTCTTGTAATGACATTAAAGAATTAATGACAAAATTTACCAATTTGTTTAAAAATATATCAAAAATAACGTGTTTAACTGAGTTAAGCATTAAGCTAGGTAGTTTGGACGCAAAGTATTTATCAACCAACTTGGCACAAATCGGCCCCAGTTGTTGTAAACTTAAAAATCTTACCCTAATTGTATTAAGCTTTGTGTATAAATCAAACCTAGACCCAATTAGCCTAGCTATTTCCCGTAATACGATCGAGTTCATTAACAAAAATTGTCAACAATTACGGCGTTTGCATATTGAGGGACAATCGGACGGTACGATTGTCTGGATTGATGTTACGTTTCACGCGTGCAAACGATTGCGTGATATTGTTATTGACGAATGGTATTATAAATTCACCAATGATGATGATGAATATTATAAAAGGCACAACAAAATTACTGTATATTCCCGTTTACACCGATCATTACAAATTACATCTGTGTCAGAAAAAATTGGCTACTAATATAATAATTTTAACCGAATGATTTACATTACCACTATAATGTCATTTCTGTTTATTTTTGTGAATAAATTCTGAATGTTGTATTTTATATTCTAATGAGTACTAATGAGATCTGAATATTGTCCTTTAATAAATTGTTGTACGTATTGTATATTGCTTATATTTTATTTCACGATAGTAAAACAGAACATCTACTGTATGTTTGATATTTTAATTAAATACAATAAAAAATTACCATGGAAACAATTATCTAACTCGTAAGTACTATATCGGTTTTACATTGTATTTCATATATGCTCTGAAATCAGTATATATTTGTTTGCCACGTTTCATATTATTATAATTTAAATTTACCGAATAATAAGTTTGAAAATTATAATTATATTACAGTATATATAATTGTTTAATAAATTAAAATGTGCTCAAAGTATACAAAAGATTCAATGGATAGGTTTGGCGACGATTTGTGTGAAGTATTGTTAAGTTATCTGTCATTTGAGGACCGATTCCGGTGTGAATGTGTGTCCACTCAATGGCAACGATTGGCATTCAATACACAAAATCATATTAATATTAATCGCAAATTATATAAAAACAACAAACTTTTCGAGCAAATAGTAAAAAAGTGCAAAAAAGTTACAAGTATTAATGGCACAGGTAAGAAAGTAACTTTTAATTTGTAAAACATAACCAATTTATATTCTATTTCAGCTCGGCGATCTTACCGTGACCATGCTCCATTTAATTCAATGGACGCAGAAATATTAGAGACAATAATTAATTATTGCAAAAAATTGAATAAAATTGAGATCACATCTGATTCGGACTTAAATTACGAAAATTCTTTTTCATATTTTGGCCCACAATTGAAATCATTGGTAATCAATAGCTGGAACTCTTGGCAACTCAACAAATCACTTAAACCATGTATTAATTTAAAACACATATCATATCGACCTCGAGAGGGCAAACCTATTGAGATATATGCTAATAACCCCGACAAAAATGTGCTTGCTTTATATTATGCAATATTTAGCAACAAACAAATTGATCAAGATCACAACCAATATCTTGGTGTATACACAAATTACGTTATTAAAGATGATTCTTGCGAAATTAGCCAATACAACGAGTTTATTCATAATTATCGCTATAATATACGTTCGCTTGACATCACTATTACTGAGTGCACCGCTTCCTGTAATGATGGCGAAGAATTAATGACAATATTTAATGATTTGTTTAACAATATATCACAAATAACGTGTTTATATGAGCTAAGGGTTAAGCTCGATAGCCTAGATGCAAAATATTTGACTAATAATTTGTCACAACTCGGTTCCAGTTGTTCTAAACTTAGGAAACTTAAGCTAAATATATTAAATTCCGTGTATGAATGTAACCCTGAGCCGATTGACCTAGCTATTTCCCGTAATACTATCGAGGTCATTAACAAATATTATCAACAATTACGGCGTTTGCATATTAAGGGACACTCAAACGGTACGATACCGTGGATTAACGAGACGTTTCATATGTGCAAACAATTGCGTTCAGTTGTTATGAATGAACGTTATTACCAACAAAATGATGATGGTGATAATTATGCAGAGTACAAGAAAATTACTGTATACTCCCGTTTACACCGATTATTACAAATTACATCTGTGTCAAAAGAAATTGTTGAATAATATAAAGATTTCTAAACTATATCATTAAAAATACAAATTAATGAAATTCTGTTTTATTTTTAACAAAATTCTAAAATTTGTAAATTGATTACAGAATGAATATATTTTTAATAGTGTTGATTATTTTTATCATTAATTATGGATTAATTGTTTCGCAAGGAATAAAAAATTATTAAAAACTCATTTTATTAAACACTGACTGTTATAAGGTTTTTGATAAATTATAAAGAATTACTTTAATATTTCAATTAGAATATTTTTAAAATAAATTTAAAATATTCGTACCATTATTTATACAGCAATATTAGTTTATATTACACTTTAAATAGTTACGAAAATTGTTATTTAATTTTATTGAACTTTATTATAATTAAAACAAAATATCTATTAAATCGCTGATATATTAACAGTTTTATAAAATATTTACTTATATATTTAGAAAACAAAAATTTTCTATTTTCATTAAAGATTAATTTCGAGTTATTAAATTTTTTTTTCAATATTACTATTTTTCATATATACTTAAATATTAACATTTTCTAAAATATTAATCACAATTTGATTATATTATATTAAATTAAATATATTATATTAAAAATATAATATTACTTTTAAATATAACACTGGAATGTAATGTCGTAACAAATACCCATAGAAACAATTATCAGACGATAACTATGGTTTGCAATAGATTTAAGTTTGTTTCATATATTCACTGAAGCAATAAAATTTATTTTGCTACGTGGCATATTATTTTAGATTGTATTTAATTAAAATTGATAAATTTGAATTTGATATTTATTAAACTTAAATTCAATTTTGTGTTAAAATAAAATGTGTTTAAAGTATACAAAGGACTCAATGGATAGGTTTGGCGACGATTTGTGTGAAGTATTGTTAAGTTATCTGTCATTTGAGGACCGATTCCGGTGTGAATGTGTGTCCACTCAATGGCAACGATTGGCATTCAATACACAAAATCATATTAATTTTAATTCAAAATTAAATAAAAATAACAAACTTTTTGAGCAAATAGTAAAAAAGTGCAAAATGATTACCAGTATTAAAGGCACAGGTAAGAAAGTAACTTTAATTACCAACACTTATCTGGTTATACTCTATTGTAGCTATGAAATCATACCGTGACCTTGCTTCATGTAATTCAATTAATACCGAAATATTAGAGACAATAATTAATTATTGCACAAAATTAAATAAAATTGAGATCACATTTGATTCGGTCGTAAATTACGACAAATTTTTAGCACACTTTGGCTCACAATTAAAATCATTGACAATCTATATCTATAACTCTAGTCAACTCAACGATACCCTTAAGCCATGTATTAATTTGCAACGCATATCATATCAACACATAGGGTATCATATCGAGGACCCACCCGTCGAGATCTACGCGAATGAACCGGACAAAAATGTGCTTGCTTTTGTTTCCACTATATTTAACCACCTAGAGATTGATCATGATTGCAACCAATATCCTGGCATATTCATAAATTACTATATTAATGATGATACTTCCAAAATTGACAAACACAACGAGTTTATTCATAATTATCGCCATAATATACGATCGCTTGACATCACTATTACTGAGAGCACAGAGCCTTTTAATGATGGCAAAGAATTAATGACTATATTTAATAATTTGTTTAATAATGTATCACAAATAACTTGTTTAAATGACTTAAACATTAAGCTAGTTAGATTGGACGCAAAGTACTTATCAAGCAACTTATCGCAAATCGGCGCCAGTTGTCGTAAAATTAAAAAACTTACACTAATTATATTAAGTTCTCAGTATTACTTATATCCCGAACCGATTGACCTAGCTATTTCCCGTAATACTATCGAGGTGATTAACAAATATTGTCAACAATTACGGCGTTTGCATATTCAGGGACAATCGGACGGTACAATAGTGTGGGTTAACGAGACGTTTCACGCGTGCAAACAATTGCGTGATGTGATTATTGATGAATGGTATTGTAAAATTATTAATAATGATGATGATAATTATATAAAATACAACAGAATTACTAACTATTCTCGTTTAAACCAATCATTACAAATTAGATCTGTGTCAGAAAAAATTTTGTGAATATAAATATTTTAACCTGTATAATTTAATTTACGCATAAATAAAATTCCTGTTTATTTTTATAACTAAATTTTAAAATTTAGAATTGGCGTACTGGTCAAGTTTCAAATCACGCGTCTATTGCTGATAGCATTGAAAAAAGGTGATT